AAGGATCATTTCCTTAAGGCACAGCCACCCTTCTTGGGCTCCCATCATTTCAAAACTCCTACTCTGCAGTGCGTCCTTGACTAATCGCCTGAGTTCATTGAAATCAGCTTTCCTAAAGTCTAGCACTTTCACCCTACTAGTTACCTTACCCACTCGACGTCTTATGAAGAATTCTATTATTAGGTGATCACTGTCCCCCAGATGGCTACCGATCTGTAGGTCCTGTACCATGTCATCCCCCGTTGCCAATACCAGATCCAGTAAGGCATTCCCTCTAGTGAGACCATGTACCTCCTGTGTCAGGTGGAGGTCCTGTACACAGGTTAGAAACCTGCGTGAACGGTGGGACTTTGCTGTCTGTAATGGGACTTTGCTGTCTGGGTAGTTTAGGTCCCCCATGACTACCGCCTCCTTAGCTTTTATGGTCTCCGAGAGCTGCCTCAGGAGCCCCAAATCTAGTTCTTTCCCTTGTTGTGGGGGTCTGTAGCAGACCCCTACCACCAAATCCCTTTCTCCTTGACCTCCATGTAACTTTACCCACAATCCTTCTACTTCCTCATCCTTCGATTCCGTCTTGATGAGGGTCGATGTATATTGCTCATTGACATACAGCGCAACCCCTCCCCTTTTCTTCCCCACCCTGTCCTTTCTGTACAGCCTATAACCCTCAATATGTACTGCTCAGTCATGGGACGAATCCCACCAGGTTTCTGTTAGCCCTACTAAGTCATAGGTGTTTTCTGCAAGCAGGAGCGCTAGTTCATCCTGCTTGTTCCCCATGTTCCTAGCATTAGTATATAGGCACTTAAGCAAGTTCAGAGCTTGTCAGAGTCTCTTGTGATCTAGGACTATAACAACAGAAGGTGGTTGCAGGGCAGGACTGAGGTGCATTGTCTAAGTTGTGAGGGAGAGGCTTGTGTGATTGCCTATATGCAATTGGCTTTTGGCCCTTGGGTTTGTCAGGAGCACCAAGTAATCATTGGAAAAACACGTCATTGTTTATGAGTTAAGGACAAATGCCAGAAACAGCAATTCTATGCAGGATTTTTAGGCAGGCCTGTCTCTCCCCAGATTTTAAGCAAGGGGCTTTGCACAGCTAAAGACTCCCTGTTTGGTTGTAACTCAGCCATCCCCTATAGGGAAGTGGCCTCCCCCTCTGATGGGGTCACAGGTAGATGCTGATGCAAATACTGCTTCCTCCTGTTCTCCCTCCTGTGTGGCTGATCTTGGTATCCCTGTCTTCTTCCTACTGCCTGGGAATTAAATTTCTGCCTTAGAGAGAAGGAGTAGTTGGGGGAAGGATACTAGGCCCTCCTTCACAGGCTGTCCATCTTGCTGGTTCTTCTCTTTCTGGCAGAGTCGCTCTAGTACCCAGTCCGCTGCTCTCCCTTTGAGTCCTGGCAGAGGACTAGTATAGACACACCTGTAGGCTTCTGATTGTTTTTATATTTTTTCCTGGCTTTATGTTGCTACGCTAGACTCTGAATGCAAACAGAAATGTATGAAAATACACTTATCACATTTTAAATTCATCTGAGGACACGAAGCAGATTGATCCACACAAGAGTATAAAGTCCTGATTCTCCACAGAGCTAGAATGATCTTCTGTGTTCCACACAGGCTTGAAAAGCAACTAAAATGATGTAGGATCCTCATGAAGCCAATGAAATTGTGTCATGGTTTTCTGTCATACAGGCTGGCAAAGGGATTCTCCGAACAATGATTGCCAATAATGATGCAGTAGCTGATTTGATTCCAGTTGATGTTGTCATCAACCTCACTCTAGTAGCTGGGTGGTACACTGCAGTCCACAGGTAAGAATACACTTTCTGTAATTCCTGTATGGTATAGTGGTTCCATATGTCTTTTAAAGGGATCCTAGACAGGATTTAATTTTGAAATTCACAAGGCAACAGCATTTGATTTTCAAGTTTAGCATTTTGCTTGCTAGTGGTAGGAGCTAAGAAGGGCAATGCCTGTTCCTCAGTACAGAGCAAGCTCAGGTGGCAGCCCCAAGTCTCTTTCTCATCGAACTGTCTAGGCATCAATGCCACAGTTGCTCAGTTTATTAATGAGGATGGGGTGAGAGACAGTGTCAAAGGCCTTCTTAAAGTCCAGAAAGACTACGTCCACTGAGACACCATCATCCAGGGATTTAGTTACCTGGTCATAAAAGGCCATCAGCTTGGTCTAGCAGGACCTGCCTTTGATGAACCCCTGTTGATTTCCCCTGGGCATGATCTCCCCTGCTGGCCCCTCACAGATGTGATCCTTGATAATTTTTTCAAGGATTTTCCCCAAGACCGATGTGAGGCTTATGGGTCTATAGTTTCCTGGGTCCTCCTTTCTCCCTTTCTTATAGATGGTCAGAAATTGGCTAATGGGGCACACCCAGAGAGTGGTGGTGGCCAGGTCATACTCGACCTGGCAGGATGTGAATAGTGGGGTCCCCCAGGGCTCGGTCCTGGGGCCTACACTGTTCAACATCTTCATCAGCAACTTGGACGAGGGGGTGGAAAACACGCTGTCCAAGTTTGCTGATGACACCAAGATGTGGGGAGAAGTAGGCACGCTTGAAGGGAGAGAGAGGCTGTAATTAGATTTAGACAGACTACAGAAGTGGGCAGATGGTAATAGGATGGGGTTCAATGTAGATAAATGCAGGGTGCTGCACCTGGGGAGAAGGAATCCACAGTATACATACAAGCTGGGGAGCTCCCCCCTAGAGAGCACAAAGGCGGAAAGGGACCTTGGAGTCATTATTGAATAATGACTCCAAGATAAATATGAGCTGCCAATGCCAGACTGCAGCCAGCAAAGCCAACCGCACCTTGTCATGCATCCAAAGATGCATCTCAAGCCAGTCCAGAGAGGTGATACTCCCCCTCTACGCAACATTGGTCCGGCCTCAATTGGAGTACTGCATCCAGTTCTGGGCGCCGCACTTCAAGAAGGATGTGGCCTGCCTTGAGAGGGTTCAGAGGAGGGCCACCCGCTTGGTTGGAGGGCAATAGGCCAGGCCCTATGAGGAGAGGCTGAGGGACCTGAACCTGTTCAGCCTCAGCAAGCAGAGGCTGAGGGGGGATTTGGTGGCTGCCTACAAACTCATTAGGGGAGATCAGCAGCAAATAGGAAGGGCCCTATTCCCCCCCAGCAGCACCTGGGGTGACAAGGAACAATGGCCAGAAGCTGCTGGGGAATAGGTTCAGGTTAGAGATTAGGAGGCAGTATTTCACTGTTCGGGTGGCTAGGATCTGGAACCAACTTCCTAGGGAAGTGGTCCTCGCTCCTACCTTGGGTAAATTCAAAAAGAGGTTGGATGAACACTTGTCTGGGGTCATGTGATCTCAGCATGTGCTCCAGCCAGCGGCGGGAGGTCAGACTAGATGATCTATTTAGGTCCCATCTGACCCCTAACTACTATGAAACTAAGTTAAGCAAATGGTGTTTGTTTGACTCGCTTTCAATTATATTAACTGTTTCAACTGACTGCTTGGATACGTGAAGATATTCTGGGGGTGTGGGCAAAGGTAATAATTGTATTGATATCAGAGGATACAAGTTACAAGATGCTATGATGCAACTGTTACTTCTGCATGATTCTTTTGTAATGTAAGTGTAGCAAAACTGCTTCAGCTTTAACCTTGCTTTATCCATGGTCCAGGTTAGGATAAGTTGGCTCACTTGTATCACTATGGTATCAGGCAAATGTCACATATAAGTCAAAACAGTTGCTGCACACCGCCAAGCAGCAGCTTTCCTACAGCCACCTTTAAAGCAGCTAGAATGTATGTTTGCCCATCCCCTTAATGTGTTGCTTTACAAAAGAGTGTGATGTAAACAGAAAGTGTATTAATAGCTCGCAGGATGGGAGGCAAGATATGATACCCCAATTCTTTGGTTAGTGAAAGCATATAAAAGCTACATTAAAGATTTAGCCACTTTTCCTGTTCAACTTCTCGAACCTTTATATTGTGAGTGTTCTGATATAAAGCAGCATGAGTTATTCTAGAGGCCTAGATAAATTCAAAACAAAAGTAAAGAAAAAAGAATGTGAAATATCTCTGTGTTATCCTGTATTCCCTGATCCTACAGTAGAGAAAAGCCTCATATAGAAGCCTGAATACAGGGAGCCTGATAAGACCTGTAAAAGGCAATGTGTGGGGTTCATTTTCTCCTCCATTCCACCCATTGGTGAAGGGGAAAAAATTACCTGGAACAAGCTCAGTATATTCAGAGAGAGATGCAAACACCTCTTATTTGTCCTAAGCATCCCACAGTGACACTACAAAAAAAGAGGGTGAGCTAACCATATTAGCCTGAAATCAAGCAGAAGGCAAGACAGGGTGGCACTTTGAAACTAAGATGATTCAGAGAAATATAAGCTTTCATAGGCAACAGCCTACTTCATCTCCCAGAGTAGGAGATGAGTGTGGGAGGTGTCTTTGACTATACAGTAGGTGCTGGCGCCTTGATTCACCTACTTCATCAGTCTGTGGGAAGTCAGTAGTGGGGAGGAGGACTCTGAGTCTCCGTCTGCTTCAAGAGGCACTGAAGAGTCTCCCCTTCCACCCAGCCACATCCTTTGTGAATTGTAGCAACCAGTCACCGCACAAGTGTACCGCTTTGCCCTTGGCTAGCACCACCCCACAGGAGTGCCAGGAACAGGCACTTTATTATAAAACCTCCCTCAAGTAGTCAACGAGTGCCCACTCTTACACCAGAGCAAATGAGACATGAAATATAAATAGTGCCACATTGTTTTCAGGGAACTGTGAAAATAATGAAATACTACTGGTTGGAGCTCTGTGGTCCCAATCTACACCCCACTCAAGTTAGTGGGAGCCTTTCCTTTTACTTCACTGAACTTTGAATCAGGTTTTTATATTTGGCTCAATGCAAAGCCCCAGGTCCTCTGCAAACTATTAGCTTAAAGCATGATACAAGAGTACCTGACCTATCAGCAGGTCATATCAGTTTTTGAAAACATCAACATTCCCCCTATAATATGCCTACGTGTCATCTGATTCCAAATGGAAGTTCTGATACAAAGGTTAACACTCCTGTTTCTGGCATAGGCCATCACTTTGGCCATAAGGGTAAGTCACAAAAAGCAGCAATAAAGAAGAGGACCCAACCACTTTTTGCATTAACTGTTCTTCAGGGACTTGAGCAGAGTGGAATCAGATCACAATCAGATCTCCAAGTCTGCTTAACAGGACCACTGGTCCTTGGAGTTTTCCAGAATGAATACAGCTTGCTTATAGGCCCTGATGATTTAATCTTTGCTAAATTGTCTTGTTTGTTTCCCTGATGCAGAGCTTCCCAATTACTGCTATGTGCTTATTAAAGGCAGAGAGAATGGGTAACAGTATTAAAATCCTGCTCACTATTTCAAGGTTGCAGAAGATAATGATATTGAAGCTTTGTGCACTTCTAGACGACAAAACATATTTTAATTAAGCAATGAACTCCTCAAGGGAAGCTAGTTTAATAATAGTTTGCAATTCAGTAGGACTCGTAATTTGGGGATCTCAGGGCATGTTTACAAAACTATAATAAAGCTTCATAGGTCTCAAATGAAGCATCGCAGGGCTCCAGTAACACTCCCTGCAGTTCTGTTTCCCTCCCTGCATCTGGTATCATCCCTGTCCTGAAAAAAGACAGCTTTTCTTCTCACTACCCTAGTCCCAGGGGTTCTGAAGATTCAGGGTGCTGAGGAGGGGTGCTGAATTGTAACATTGTACCGAGCTGGGCTCACTGGGTCCCAGATAAGGCCTTGCCTCCTCTGGAATGGTGCTGAATGGTGCCAGGCCCTACAAAAGAGCTTGCGGCATGTGGCTTGCAGTGCTCTCTCCTCTCCGGACATGTGCTGCACTGGTCTGAAATTGTTGATGATTCACATGCATTGCATGTAGCCCTTTAGTCTGCATACAGAAAAGGAGATGCAGGCACAAAAGACCCAGGCACTCGCATGATCAGGGGTCAGCAGGGCAGACCCTATGGGGAGAGCCTAAGGGACCTGAACCTGTTCAGCCTCCACAAGAGAAGGCTGAGAGGGGATCTAGTGGCCTGTTACAAACTAGTCAGAGGGGACCAGCAGGCATTGGGGGAGTCCCTGTTCCCCCGAGCACTACCAGGAGTGACTAGAAATAACAGTCACAAGCTGGCAGAGGGTAGATTCAGACTAGACATCAGGAGGTGCTACTTCAGAGTCAGGGTGGCTAGGATCTGGAACCAGGTTCCAAGAGAAGTGGTGCTGGCTCCTACCCTGAGGGTCTTTAAGAGGAGGTTAGATGAATGCCTTGCTGGGGTTGTTTGAACCCAGTCCTTTTTCCTGCCATGCCAGGGGGTTGGACTTGATGATCTGCTCAGGTCCCTTCCCACCCTACCTACTATGAAACTATGAAAAAGCTTGGGCATGTGCCTGAATTACGTGGTGAATTATGGGCACAGCCAAAACTAGACTGGAGCTCTGCTGAGTCCCAGGCCCATACTATAACCATTAGAACAGTGATTCTCAACCAGGGTGCTGTGGCCCCCTGGGATACTTAGAAATCTTTTCAGTAATGCTGCAGGATGCCACACAAAGTTAGCACCATTGGGTGTACAACATAATTCACAAGATAAACCCAAAGATTTCAAACAGAAATTCGTAGTGGTAAAAACATTCTGACCTGTTTGGTCTTTCTTTGCAACAGAAGAAATACCCTGTTGGTATTGTTTTTCTATTGTCAAAAACTTAAGAGTGAAAATTAAGTGCAAGTATCTTCTGAGGAATGCCTTCAGTCGACCTAAAATGGTTGACAATTACTGCATTAGACCATAATCAGTCTTGTTTGAACCATATTGCTCCCTATTTAAATTTTATTTTTGAGGCATGAGGCCTCACTTCAAGGAGACAGTCAGCTGGGCGAGAGATGAAGATTTTGGTATTATTTTCTGTAGTTGAGAGTACGTGAAGTTTTACACATCAGGTACATGGGACTTGAGGGATATTCAATAAAGATGTGATTTGTTTTGTGTATTATTATGCAACTTTCACTCAAAAACAAACAGAAGCAAAGTTTGTATATGCTAGCAAAAGGAGTTTCTTGTGAAAATTGGAGGCTAGATTCATAATTCCTCAGTAATGTGTGTATGGTCCACGGGTCTAGCAAAAATTGCATTTTATGTAAATTATTTATAAATATTTAATATGTCTATGACTTCACCTTGGAGAAATTATCTCCAGTATATCAAGAAGAACTGTATGATAAATCAAAAGTGGTGTATATTTGTAACGCTCCCACTAGCTATTCAAGTCCTTGACCACATACCCTAAGCAGGTTGTACTCCCCTCGACTCGCCTGCCACGACTTGATGGAAACAAATTCAAAAGAGGGGTTCAGTGGTGTAAATGAAGAAGTTCCCGCTCCAGGTACTCAGTTTGAGGAGCAGTTGACCCTGGGGCTCCACCTTCCCTACTCCCTAGCCACACACCAGCCCTCATTGTTGAGGTGTCTTGATATGATGCAATACTCTGACCAGGTCCAGTCCTGATCTAGAGCAATCCTGGTGGATTTCTTTCTAAGCCCTTTTTAGGTCAGTCCCTGAGCCCTGTACGTAAAGAGTTACTCTTTGTAGTGGGCCACTGATAAAGAGCTGGGTCTGTCCTGGCCTTTGCATCCTCACTGGACCATTTATAATAATGAAAAGAAACAAAGAGAGAAAAAAAGAGGAAACAAAACCAAGAAAGCCTCCACTCTGGAGGTGTTGCTTCAGTTTGAGCCCAATGTTCCTCCTGGGCTTCAGTAATCTAAGCTCTGTAGAAAAGATACTTTAAGAAATGGGTGAAGGCACTGCTCCTCAGCTTTCATCTTAATAGAGCCTCCTTTGCTCTGTGCTTGATGAGCCCTCACGGATCCAACACTGATATGCCTCAGTGCTCCGAGGCTGTTCCTGCCCCAGTCCCTGCAACTTTGGGGGCAGTTCCACCTCTCCTCATGCCAGCACTCTGAGTGCCTTTTAAATGTCCCATGGTGGCACCAGAGGCTGACATCATCAGCCGGGCGATGCCAAGATTGATTGACAGGGAGCTTTTAAAATGCAGCACCAGCACGCATCGCTTCAGCTCCTATCTTGAAGGTAAGTACTCCCTGCTTTCAGAGGCTTTTTGATCGCCCCTGTTGGGGTCTGCTGTAGGTCCTATGGGCTCTGCAGGGAGGTAGGTCCCCATTTGTTACAATATTAAAACTTCTATTTACTGTTTTACAGTTTAAATTACTGAAATATAGATAATTTATGACAAGCCAAATTTATTATTTCTTAATTCCATTTTTTTTTTAACTGCTGTGTAGATTTTCTGGCTGGGTTTGATTTAAACCTACTTTTTAATTGCACTTTCTATTTCTACATAGAACAAACCCTTTTAAGGTCATTATTTTATGAGTTGATAATGTCATGCTCTTAATAATCCACGGTATGGTTTTTAAACTACTTTTGCCTTAACAACTATTTAATCTCAGTTATATTTAAATCTGTTCTTGTTTGCTATATGTTTTTGTTTATATGGTCATTGATTCTATACTGAACAATTAAAGTGCAGATCATTGAATGTCGTGTAAAAAGTAAGATTGTCCTCTCTTCAGATTTTTCATTAAAGACTAAAAATAACATTTTCAAAGGTTCTAAGTCCATTTTACAAAAGTAACTAAGGCATTTAGGCTTTAATTTTTTAAGGCTATTTAGATTCCTTGAAATCCATTGAAATTAGGATGCTATATACTTTTTAAAATCATACATTTAGGGGCACAATTTTGAATTATATTTAGCCATCTAAAGAGTAGATATATTGTGGGATTTTCAAATGGGTTTTATGTAAGATAGATACCTAACTCACACTGAAGTCAATCAGAGGGTTTGACATTCTTGAGCAACATATGCCATCAACCTGCTATTGTAGACATTTCCCTGGCTGGTTGTCCCCTTCCACCACACAGATGGCTGCTTTCCTTTAGTGCCGCATTGTGTATGTTGTGTTGAGGATGAAAGACCCTACATAAGTGTAAGGTATTGTTAGAAGATATTTTCCTAGCTGTTACTTATTTAGCTGAGATTAAAATACATAGGGCTAATGACTGCCCATATTTGCATCTTAGAAGCCCATTAAAATCAGTGAGACTAAAAACAAGATCTGAACACTGAAATATTACAGTTAAATTTTGCTCCCATCCCCTTGGCTTTCAGGATAATTGTTTCTATTTCTTTTTCATCATTTTTAATTTGCTTCTTTTTCTACATCCACTTATTTTACAGACCAAAAAACATGATGGTGTACAACTGTACAACAGGTGGGATCAACCCCTTCTCCTGGGGAGAGATGGGTAAGTTCCAACTAAAGGATGAGAGTATAGGTTGTCAATGCCATTCCTGATTTCAGCTGTCACTGTGCTCAGCATGTATAAGTCATGTAACAGTTCATGGCTGAACTGCAAGCTCTTTACAGAGCTTTCACAGGTCAGGATTTAGGCCTCACTTCAGCAAAGCACTTAAGCACCTGCTGGATTTTAAGCAAGTGAGTAATCCCATCCCTATTCAGGAATGAATGGAAGCACTTCCTAAATTTTAAGCACCAAAATTATTCCTGTTGGATCTTGAAGACTATAAAAAAGAAGCAAAGCAGAAGTATAACAAGCAATTTTTGTGCCTTAGACAGTGGTGGCAGCTGAGCTGGCAGAAGCCACCATTCTCATGCCTAGGTCTGGTGCCATGCTTACTCACCTCTAGTTAAGCTACCAAAATAAAGATAAACACTTCTGGTTCCAGAGAACGATTCCACACCCAAATTGTTTTCTTCTGCTTTTCTTTTGGTTTGTTTAAATACAATCTGAGAACTAAAGTGAATGATGGTCCAAAGACAGGTCTACTTCCCAGAGCAGCAAAAGCTAGTATACTTAGGAAAAATGCAGTTCCTTTTGCTTTGTATTTTTACAGACAGTCTTTGGCTCATAGAAGAACCTAGCAATCAAAGACTTAATTTTAAATGGTATGCCTTTCAGTAAAAGGATCTGGTCAACAGAAATATTCAAATTAGCTCCATAATCTTTTTTTTTTCTTTGTGTGAAATGTTTTAAATGTGGGCTCATTCTAAGACAGGTGATACAAATGATGTGACTCTTGGTATCATTACTCTAGAACAGTGATTCTTAACTGGAGTGTCATGGCACTGTAGCCAGACAAGGTTAGAGTGCCACACGGTATTCACAAACCTAAAAAAATGCAACATCAGTGTCAACACATGGGAGACTTAGATTTTAGATTTTCATAGACATTAGGGCTGGAAGGGACCTCGGAAGATCATCGAGTTCAGCCCCCTGCCCAAAGGGCAGGAAGTCAGCTGGGGTCATAGGATCCCAGCAAGATGAGCATCCAGTTTTGTCTTGAAGGTGTTCAATGAAGGCGCTTGAACCACCTCCGGTGGCAGGCTGTTCCAGACCTTGGGGGATCGGACAGTAAAGAAATTCTTCCTTATGTCCAGCCTGAAACGATCTTGTAGTAGTTTGTGACCATTCGACCTCGTCATCCCTTGGGGCGCTCTGGTGAACAAACGTTCCCCCAGATACTGGTGGTCACCCCTGATAAACTTGTAGGTGGCCATCAGATCACCCCTGAGCCTGCGCTTTTCCAGGCTAAAGAGCCCCAGGGCTCTCAGCCTGTCATCGTAGGGTCTGCTTCCCTGACCTCTGATCATGTGCGTGGCTCTTCTCTGGACTCTCTCAAGCTTCTCCACATCCTTTTTGAATTGTGGAGCCCAAAACTGGATGCAGTACTCCAGCTGCGGCCTCACTAAGGCCGAGTACAGGGGGAGAATGACGTCCCGGGATTTGCTTGAGAAGCATCTATGGATGCAAGCCAGTGTTTTGGTC